CCTCCTACGTTAACTCCTGCAGGTCAACTGAGTAGCACAGCTAACCCGTGGACACTACAGTTTGCGCGAGACTTGGAACTATATCGAGGTATAAGTGGCACAGAGACTTTCTTCGACACGTGGAGCCTCGCGAAGGATTAATGGGCTGAATTGCTTGACTACAACTCAGATGCGGCACATGAATTTCTCTCGGTTGATCCCAGCCTGTTGAGGGCAGCTGCATTCACCGATCGCAGGCTCTTTGATAATCTCTTCAGCCACAAACAAGTACAAACACAGGAAACCCAAGAGGAGAAGTACAACTGTACACTGCTATCGGCAGATGGCACACCATGCTCCCTCGGCTTCCCGACGTTCCAGAAGCTTATCGCGCACCAAACCTCCAGACATGGCATTCGATCTATTCTCAACTCGGGGGTCATCTTAAACCAATGCCCAAATTGCTGTTCTATTTTCAAGGATGCCGATAGCACGCGACACCATCTTAAACGAGGATACGCACAGGGGAGGTGTCAACTAGGACGGGCTCACATGAACTGGACGGTGCACCTTCCACACGAACTGCAATGTGGTCTATGTACCGTAGCTCCCTTTGGTTCAACTCGCGAGCTTTTCCACCACATACGTGCAGCACATCTTCCATTACCATTACCTCGACTATTGCTGTCACAAGGCGCACACCAGAGACACTCGCTGGTGCGAGCGGATGCCAGGTACCCTCGGCTCCAAGGACGGCGCGGCAGCTGGCCACCAACGGGACGTCCGACAGCGTCGGCCAGCGGAGAACCAGGCCCAGAAGGAGCAGGGCCTGCGCGACGTGAAGTCGCTCAAGAGGGGCGAGAAGACGATGCTCGGCCTTCTCGCACGCCAGTCGCTCAGGAGCGCACAACAACTACGCGAGCTCCAGGCAGTAGTCTACGACGTGTGGTTGCTGCCCGAGAACAGCCCCATCGTGCTCGCGATGCAGGAGCAGACGTCGAACTACGCCGACCACGTGAAGGGCAAGAAGGAGCACGATCTCGGGCCTCCTCACATCTGGGCGCTCGGAGGCGCGCTCAAAGCCTACGCGGAGGGGAAGCCCGACGGTCAGACACCAGGGTTCAACTTGACCCCCGCGCTCTTGCGAGAGCTCCAACAAGCGAACGAGCAGTACGACCAGTGGACCATCGAGAGGAAGTGCGACCTGGTCCTTCACTGCAGGGTGGAGAAGGTCTTCCAGAAAGGCATGAAGAAAGTGACAATGGCCTTTCGCGACTCGACGTTCCGCTTGATGATGTACGGAGCCATCTCGAAGACCGAAGGGGCGATTCACAAGCAGGGGAAGGCGCCGGCGACCTTCCCCGAGCGCGAGCTTCAAGAGTGGCTCGACGGCATGGAGGCCTAGAGACAGCAGTCAGCAGTATTGAGTTTTGGGACGGTTCTTCTCATCACATTCCTGTTGCTGAGCGGCGTCGTGCTGAAGCTGATCTACTCCAGACGCCACGTGAGAGTGGCAGAGTTCCTAACCTTCCTCTTCTGACGGCCCAGGCCGACAGAGCGATTTTTCGGATTCAGCCTCAGAGTTCAGAGGATCCTCCACCTGAGCGCGAAGTTCCAGGCGCCTCCCGTTTGCGAATTGTTACCGACTTCCTTGCCTCTCGTGGCGTCACACCTGGCACCACGAGTATGTATCACGCAATGTCGAGTAGTGAACGAATACACACTTTAGCGCGTGCATGGTATGATAAGCTGCATGAGCCTCACTTGCATGTGCCTAAACAGTGAAGCTGTTCTCGGTGCTGGTGGGCCTTGCTAGGAGTGGAACGCCTGCAAGCAGGCCGCCATTCACAGCTCGTGCTCGTTGGCTGCCGTTTGGGTGTCTTTATTTCGAGTGCCCGCTCGAATGCTCCGCGGGACTACAGCGAATGCCTCCCACAGTCATCTCATTCGTCAATGACTGTGGGGGCACGCCCTAGGATCGAGACGGTCCTGGAGGGCACTGTCCCGTCACCTCGAGGCCCAGCCATGAGGTAGCACCGCTCAGGAGGATCACCGCACCATATTCGAGAGACATTTGATTCGTCCATTTGTCCCACGGAGCTTTTGTTTGCAGCATGACCGTACATAGTGCACGGCCAGAGAGAAGACCAAGATGGCGCTGAAGGTGAGTCGAAGTCGAAGTCGAAGTCGTCGTCGTCCTCCTCCTCCTCCTCCTCCTCCTCCTCCTCCTCCTCCTCCTCTGTTCTCCTACTTCCTTCTCTTCCTCCTTCTCCTCCTCGAAGCTCTTCTAGGCTTGTGCGGTCACGGATTCTGCTTGGCGTGTGGCGGCGGCGGCCCCTGCGACGAGCTGCCCCTTGCAAGCGGAGAGCGTGTCACTCTTCGTCATTGGATGGGAGGCTGGGAAAGGCTCGGGGCATTGATGCTTGGGGGCTCGGACGTGCTCAGTGCGTCGCGTCGAACACCGTCGGATGTCTGGCATCGGGGTTTCGAAGGTTCCAGGCTTGGGGGCGTTTTTCGTCTCTTCTGGGCCTCCCCTCGTGGCCACGGTCCACCACATCGGGATTCTGGTCGGGACGTACCTAGGACAAGAACGTGCCATTAGACCCCTCTCACCACATGCTCTCGCGTGTCGGAAAGGAGAGCGACGATTGTTCTGTTGGCCGTTTCCGGGCCCTCTGGTGACCGGGCCTTGGGACCGTTCCGAAACGACTGGGGGTGAAACGCCGGTCCTGGGGAAGGGGTCGAGACCTCCAGGGGCCCACGATGAGAAAAACATCGCAACGTCAGGGAGTATGGGTCCGATGGCGTGATTTGCCCGACTTCAGAACCCAGACGTCCGACGGATTGATTTTTCATTCCGCGGGCCTCAAACATCTCTATTTCGTCCTGCGCCGCGTCTTGCTAGGAATACCCTCGGGGTGCCGAGAATGGCGGACAATCTGCAACCGGATCATTTCAAGACGTCGGAGGTCTGTAATCGGTCAGCCACACCTGTGTTCCTTTCTCCCTGGCCCGATGGGCTCCACAGGGGGGAAAGGGAAGAACGACAGCGTTCCCGAACGTGGCTGGGAAGGCACGCGCTGGGAAGGCACCTCACCTCTTAGAGACTCTTCTGCTCTCAAATTCGGCCTGGAGGCCTTCTAGGAGGAGGAGGAGGAGGAGGAGGGGGAGGAGGAGGAGGAGGAGGAGGGGGAGGAGGAGGAGGAGGAGGAGGGGGAGGAGGAGGAGGAGGAGGAGGAGGAGAGAGGAGGGAGGAGGGAGGAGGAAGAGGGGGCCGATATCTACAGAAGGGAAACCCCAAACCCACCGTCAACATAAACTGTTGCAGGTCTGCGCGGGATTCCTGGGCGGGCGCTGCACCCCCCCCGTGGAGTGCCAATCGCGCGGGAGGCGGCGCCTTTCGTGCCGGTTTCGGCAGAGGGTTCAGCGCGGAGTTCCGACGATCGAATTACGATTATGCATGGTGCGTCTTTCTCGGCCCCCCCGAGAAGCCCCCCTGCCCCTTCGTCGGGCGTTGGCAGAGGGGGCGAGCCGGGGCCTGGGGCCCGACCAGAGGACATCGCTGCGATGGACAGCCCCCGAGCATGGCTGATGTGTTGGACCCCCCAAGAGACATGAGGATAGAACTATTTGACGGGTCCTTCCCGCCGAACCAGAGCGTCGCACCCTCCGCGGGGGGAAGTACAGTCGGGCCGCTGAAATAAGGAACGCGACGTAAGAAACGACGCCCCTCTCTGGCACAAGAAGCGCCTGCGTGCACGACGCGGGCTAACTATAGGAATCAAAAACGTTCCTTATTCCAGAGACTTGACTGCAGCAGTCGGCGTCCCGCCCGAAGGAGAAAACGATCGGGGATGAGTGGCAGGACCGCCACTGCCGAGAGGAGCGAGGATGGGAGCAACAAAAAAACACCGGCGCCACTACTCCGCGGACCTCTCCCGGGGTAGCGCCTCTGGCCGCCACGCCGACACGCCGCCATCCCTTTACACGCACACCGCCGACCCGACCGACACGAAAGAGAAGGGTCCTCGCAGAAACGGGTCCTGATCCCTCAGGGCCTTTCGCAGATGTGGCAAGTTTCGATTCAATGGAGGAGCGTGGACCACCGCAAGCGAAAATCCATCGGAGGGGGGTGACCAACAGCTGGGGCGGTGGCACGCCCGAGCGTCACCCACCGACGACGCCTAGGCGTACCACCGGCCAGGGGTCGGCCGACCCCGATTGGACCTGGGTGGCAGAAGCAGAAAGGCAGCGGTGGTACCGCTAATGCCCAGAAGCTGATCGGCGCGGGCGAGGATCGATGACCTTCGAGGGCGAGGGGGAGGAGGAGAAGAAAAAGGAGGAGGAGGAGGAGGAGAAGGAGGAGGCGGAGGAGGAGGAGGAGGAAGAGGAGGAAGAGGAGGAGGGGGAGGAGGAGGAGGAGGAGGAGGAGGAGGAGGAGGAGGAGGAGGAGGGGGAGGAGGGCGCGTCATGACCAGAATTTCGAAGAGAATCCGGCCGTGATTTCGAGGGCTGTCCAGCACGAGCAGCGGTAGCGGAACGGCAGGCGGAAAACAATTAGGGAACACCCCCCTCCCGAAATGCGAAGATTGGAGCGTCGGGGGACGGCCGCGGCAACGTTGATAATGGGGGAGGGGGAAAATGGTGTGGCACGAGTCTCCACTATCATGGGCGAGGGGGGATATGATGTGGCACGAGCGTTCGCTATCTATTTCCGACGCCCTGAGCTTTCGCCCCTCTGAGGTCTCAGCTTCTCTTTTGAAGATCTCTCTCCGTCGGGCAGGGCAGGGCGACCCTCCGCGCCCGCGCCGCGCTTCGGCGTCGTCGGTCGTCGGCCGCGTCGGTCGTCGGCCGCGTCGGTAGTCGTCGGTCGTCGGTCGTCGGTCGTGGGTCGTGGGTCGTGGGTCGTGGGTCGTCTGTCGTCGGTCGTCGGTCGTTGGTCGTCGGTCGTCGGTCGTCGTCGGTCGTCGTCGTCGTCGTCGTCGTCGTCGTCGTCGTCTTCCCCTCCGCGCGCGCCCATCCTCCATGCGGGGTAGCCCGAACAGCCACACCCAGCAGGCGCAGGCGCCTCCGAGGCCAGGCCGCACCATGACGCGGAGCGTAGAGCAGCGGGCCGCCTGCTCGTGGGGCGACCCGCACTCGGAGGGGCGCGGCGCTCCTCCCTCCTCCTCCTCCTCCTCCTCCTCCTCCACCTCCTCCTCCTTCTCGTCCTCCGCCCTCCCTCCCTCCCTCCCTCCCTCCCTGCCTCCCTCTCTCTCTCTCTCTCTCTCTCTCTCTCCCTCCCTCCCTCCGTCCCTCCCTCCTCCCTCCCTCCGTCCTTCTTTGTCTCGTCCTCCCCCCCCTCCTCCTTTTTCTTCTCCTCCTCCTCCTCCTTCTTCTCCTCCTCCTGGCTCCTTTTCCGTATGACTATGTCCTCCCTGTCGCGCCCTGGGGCCAGTCGGAAGGGCGGGCCAGGCGTTTCGCCTAAGCAACCCGTGCCATATGCTAACCTGAAGCTTAGAAGTTGGCAAATGCTTCACGGATGGATGGCCAGTGAGTTTCAAACTGTGGCTCTGACCTTAGAGCCGAGCACATTCGTCTTAAACATGTGTGCGAGCTTCTCGGATTCAGGGCGGCTCTATTTTCAAACTGTTGCTCTCTCATAAGCTGTACGAACATTCTTCTTCGAAGTCAGCAAGAGTTTAAAGGATTGAGGGCGGCTCCTGTTCAAAATGTGGCTCTCGCCTAAGCCCCGCGCGCATTCGTCCCAAGACTTTCCAATAGTTGTCAAGATTATCTAAGCTAACGTCCCAGCAGTTGTGTTCCGGCACGATGTCGGAATGTCAGGGCGTAACGGTCACGTCGATTCGCGGTGGTAGGGATCCAGGAATGATGTTCTGGGACCATTCAGCATAGTAGAGACGCGACAGTCAGATTGATTCGTGGCGTTGGACTCATGAGAATGGTGTTTCGGAACGCTTCAGGATCTTCGAGCGGTTGTCTCCCAACGGGGCACTCATTTCAATGAAAATGAACCCTTGTAGGGACCTGTGAGAGGGAGCTTGGAGGGAGGAATTATTCCAACATCGCTGATAAGTGTTGGGATTGTACTGGTCGTCGTCCTCCTCCTCCCTCTCCTTCTCCTCCTCCTTATCCCTCCTCCATCCTCCCCCTCCTACTCATTATTATTATTATTATTATCATGCTTATCACTGTTACTAATATTATTATAATCCTCCTCCTCCTCTTCTCCTCCTCCTTCTTCTCCTTCCTCCTCCTTCCTCCTCCGTCCTCCTCCTTCTCCTCCTATCTCTTGGTTCCTAATGGTCACATGGGGTGGGGGCTACCAAGATCAGATGACGAAGAACGGTCTAAGATACACTTTTCCACCCTCGGGGACGCCTGCCCCAGGGCGGCTGGCAAGTTTTCGCCCGGGAGTGGCACGCTCGGGATGTGAGTCCAAACTTTCCAGCCGCCCTGGGGCAGGCATCCCCGACGGAGGAAACATGTATATCTGATACCGCTCTTCGTCCCCTGATAAGAGCAAGACCAAACCGGAATTGAGACACAACCGGATCGGGATACATCGGAGGTCTCTGAGATCCGCTGGCCCTGGAAGATGCGCATCGGCCGCCGCCGTTCCAGAGCGTTCCGGAGCGCTATGAGAGTGGTCGGGAACGCTCTGGAACGAGTTGTCCCGATCCCAGGCTTGCCTGAGAGAAGGTGGGGGTGCGCTTCCCGGAAGTTGCCCCGGCTTCTGGAGGGCCTTCTTTTGCAGGCCCCTGCCGGGGGCCCTTCGGGGGTGGACGGGCCCAGCCTTTAGCAGAACACCTCTGGTGAAAGCGACCCAGGACCAAGTCTAGCGAGCGCAGGCCTGAAGAATTGCGGCCCAACACCCGCTCGAGCATCAGCAACAAGGGCACGTTGCTACTCAACTTGGCATGGTGGGGGGGGGTTCTGCCAACCTCCGAGCCCTCCCAAGAGGCCCCCCCTGAGCTTCTACAGAGCCCCTCCCGCCATCTTGGCAGGCCGCCCCCCTCGGGCCAGCCCCCGTGTCCGGTACCCCCAGCTCATGATTTGTTTCGGGGCGTCGACCTCCAGAGATCTCGACCCAGCCCCTGAGCCCTGGGACTCAGTCGGGCGTGTCCCCCTACAGCCGGATTTTGGCGGATTTCCCCTGTAGAGGAACAGGCCCGACCCAACCCTGCGACCATTTCGTCATCCCCGGTCGATTTCTGACAGCCCCGTGGCCCTGCGAGGGCTCCTCCCGAGGCCGAAAATTGGGAACGACGCGAGGGTGGTCTGAGCGGGCCAGAGGCCGATGCCGAGACACTTCTGATCGAAGCCGAGGAGGTCTGCGGCCCTGCGAACGTGGCGACATGCGAACCCTATACCCCCACCAGCCGTCGATTCTCCTGAATTGGTGGGAGGCGGGGATAGGGCTTGGGTTTCGCCACGTGTTTGACGAATTCCGATACCCTATACCCCCGCCACCTATCGAGTTGCCTGAGAGGGTGAACGGCGACGGTGGGGTTCGGATTTCGCCGCTCACTGTGCGCGCAGCCGACGGCCTGGCGGACGACGCCGGTCAGGTCCAGGCTGACCAGCTGCCAGGCGTCGCCAGCGGAGAGCTCGTCGACCTGGAAGACGAGGACGCGCTCGGAGTCCTCGCTTGTTTTGTGGCGAGCGCGCCCACCATCAAGCGTTGCTCTGCGGGGGACAATACACGGGGCGGGGAAGGTCAAGCAAGGCGGGGTGAGTGAGCATGGTGAGATGGGGGGAAATAAACAGGCTCGATGCCCGTCCATTGCATCGCCCCACAATGCGACAAAACGCCCGACCACATCCAAGCCTCCGCAGTCTGGGTGCGTGGGTCGCGATCTCATACATTTCATAACGCCCGACAGTGCGCTTTTCAAATCGCAGCAGACAACTCACTTCGGCTTCCGGGGGCTGCCCGAGCCAGACAAGAACTGACCCAGGACGCGGGACTACCAGGGAGCATGGTCTGGACCTGCGGGCCGCGGAGCGGACAAATCATACTTAGGGGATGTCTGGGCACTTGCTGCTGTGGATGTGTGCATCCGCGCGCGGGGCCGCCCTGCTTCCACGGGGTTGCGGCCGAGGAGCCCGGACGGCGAGGCCAGTACGGCAGGTTCGTGCGGCGTCGGCGCGCGCAAAGGTCTTTGACACCGCGTCGATCGTTCCACTTTGCACTGGTCGCGGCCCCGATCGTTCAAGGTTGCATTCCGTCGGGCCCAGCGGCGTTACCGCGTCCCTCTGTGCTTCTGCGTCGCAGCCGCCTCCTCCTCGGCACCCTCTGCCCCTCCTCCTCCTCCTCCTCCTCCTCCTCCTCCTCCTCCTCCTCCTCCTCCTCCTCCTCCTCCTCCTCCTCCCTCTCCGCTCTTCCTCCACCGGCCCTGCCCGCTCCCGCTTTGTGGCCAAGCCAGGGTCGCCAGAAATGCCGCGGAGCCGGCCAGCCGACAAGGAGGAGGAGGAGGAGGAGGAGGAGGAGGAGGAGGAGGGAACGCTACAGCTCCGTTGATCAAAGTTGCTCATCGTCAGAAGGGAGGATGAGGAGGAGGAAGGGTAGGAGGAGAAGGAAGAGGAGGAGGAGGAGGAGGAGGAGGAGGAGGAGGAGGAGGAGGAGGAGGAGGAGGAGGAGGAGGAAGGGGAGCCTTTGCCGGCGTCGCTGGCGCGCCAACGCCGCAGGGACCCACCGTGTGCTTCCCGAGCGCAGATGTCTGCACGCGAGAGCGGCCCCGTGCAGGAGCGCGCTCTGGTGCGCCTGCTGTCTTGCGCGCCTGCCTGCAAGGCCGGTTCGCGCGGTTGGCCCATGGCGCCCCACGAGGCCATCAGGAGGCCCAAATCATAGATTTTCGATGGGGAACTTACACCTTTAGCATACACGGATTTTCGGCTTTTGCGGCGTTGACGACGGTTCAAGAGGCCCCCAAGACCGCCCCGAGACGGCCCAAGAGGGTCTGCCCCACCCAGCCCCGCCCCCCTGTGATGAGAAGCAGGCTCACACTACGACACGAGCGTGCTGTAGGCGCGATCAGAAATGATGGTGTTACTTCAGTGTTTCTATGCCGTCGCCCTCGCAATCACGCACCCCAGCGTTGTGCGCTGGTCTGTGCCATATACATATATACATATATATATATATACACACGCATATACAAACACGTGAATCCATACACATGCATTCATGCATTCACACATCCACACATACATACCTACATACATACAAACATACATACAAGCATACATGCATACATGTTTATACCCATGCATACATATATTCCTGAACTCATACATACATGCATGCGTACATACATGCATGCAAACATACACACACGCATACACGCATACACGCATACACACATACATACATACATACATACATACATACATACATACATACATACATCTATACATGCATGCATACATACATACACACGTACACACATACATACATCAGAAAGAGGGGCCCGAACGGTCATTCACTGTCCCTGGGTGCGTGGCTGAAATGGAATTCCGCGGTGCGGATTACCGTTGTTATTGTTTGTTGTTGTTTGTTGTTGTTCTTGTTTGTTGTCGTCGTCCCACCCGCGACCCACCCCGCGACCCACCCGCGACCCAACCCGCGACCCACCCCGCGACCCACTCGCGCGACCCACCCGCGACCCACCCGCGACCCACCACCGCGACCCACCCCGCGACCCACCCCGCGACCCACCCCGCGACCCACCCCGCGACCCGCCCGCGGCCCACCCCGCGACCCACCCGCGACCCACCCGCGACCCACCCGCGACCCACCCGCGACCCACCCGCGACCTACCCCGCGACCCACCTTCGACCCAAACCACGTTCAAAGTACAACCCACCATTTTCGGCGCCTGCGGAGGGTTTTTTTTGCATTCCTTCCAGGTGGAGAGCTCGCGACCCACACCGTGACCAACTCGCGACCAACCCGCGACCCAAGCCACGTTCAGGGTACAAACCACATTTTTCGGCGCCTGCGGCGGGCATTTTTTGCATTCGCTTTAGGTGGAGAACCCGCGGCCCACCCGCGACCACGTTCAGGGTATACACCACATTTTTCGGCGCTTGCGGCGGACATATTTTGCATTCGTTCCCGGTGGAGAACCCGCGGCCCACCCGCGACCCAAACCTCGTTCAGTGTACAAACCAATGTTTTTGGCGCCTGCGGCGGGCTGCTTTTGCATTCCTTCCAGGTGGAGGTGAGGAGCCCGCGACCCACCCGCGACCTAAACAACGTTCACTGAACAAACCAATGCCGCACAAGCGCGGCGGCGGATTTTTGCATGCCGTCTGAGCCCGCAAGGACCTCTTCAAGCCCCGCGCATCCACACCAGCCCGTCCAGCAACTTTACCCTGGCGAGTTGCCTTGATCAGAGAAGGCGAGGAGCATAAAATGGAAAAACAATTGCGTTGCAGCTATCTTGGGAAAGGAGGGGGAGGCAGGAAGAGTAAACAGGGGACGAGGAGAACGCGGAAGAAGAGAGGATATAAGGATGATGTGGAGAAAGAAAAGGAGGAGGAGCAGGAGGACGAGGAGGGGGAGGAGGGGGAGGAGGCGGAGGAAGAGGACGAGGAGGGGGAGGAGGGGGATGATGATAATGATGAGGTGAAGATGATGATGATGATGATGATGATGATGGACGACAATGGGAGGACGATGATGGAGGCCGATGAGGGGGAGGACGACAATGGGAGATCCATGATGAAAAGACGAGGGGGGGAGAGGGAGGACGAGGAAGAAGAGGAGGAGGAGGACGAGGTAGAGGAGGAGGATGACGATGACGATGACGACGAAGAAGAGGAGGAGGAGGAGGAGGAGGAGGTGGAGGAGAGCGCCATCGACAGGGAAGGTGGGGGCCACGAGGTCCGCCGGCTCGACGACGCCCGCGTCGCCCGCGCCCGCCCCCTCACTCTTATCCGCAATTGCGGGGTGCTACGCACATACATACATACACGCATACGTACATACATACCTGCACACATGCACATACATACACCCATTCATACACACATGCATACATACATACATACATGCGTACATACATACATACATACATACATACATACATATATACATACATACATACATACATACATACATACATACATACATACATATAACATATATACACAGATACGTGCATACATGCATGCACACACATACACATGCACACACCAGCATGCATACCTACACACATATAAACATAACTACATACATGCATGCATACATATACACATGGCTACATTCATATGCGCATACATACATACACACATGCACACATACACACAAACGTACACAAACGTACATACATACACATATACACTAATCCACACATACGTGCACAAAAACATATGTTAATACATTATATACGTGCATACATGCAAACCTATGTGTGCGCACACATACATGCATGCGTACGTACACACATGCACACACCCGTACAAACATACATACATACATACATACATACATACACACATACATACATAACTACCTACATACCTGCCGTCGTACGTACGTATGTGCATACATACAAACACATACAACCGTACATACACCGATACACACAGACATACACACACACACGTACATGCAGAACTACATACACTCACGCATCCATACATTACAAACGTGTATGCGTGCATGTAAACGTTCGTATGCACATACATGCACACATGCATGCATGCGTACGTACACGCATACCTACACACATGCATACGTACATACGTACCTCCCTACGTACGTACGTGCATACATACTTACAAACATGCATACACCCATACATGCATACATCAATGCACGCATACATACATGCAAGCACGCATACATATATACATGCACGCATGCATGCACACATAGGCCGCAACACCCACCATGAACCCCCCTTTTCTCTTGGAAGATGACAAGAAAAAAGGGGGGCGGGTGCTGTTGGAGTTGCGGGTGTCGCGTCGTGTTGTGGTGGTAGGATCTGGAGTACATGTGTGTATGCTGGACACGGAGGGAGCCTGTTGAGTATCGGGTGTTGTGTTGGAGAAGGAGGCTGTTGAGTACTGGGTGTTGTGTTGGAGACGGAGGGAGTTGAGTAGAAGGCTCTTTTCAAGTTCAGCTTGGGGAGGGAGCCTGTTGAGTATCGGGTGTTGTGTTGGAGAAGAAGGCTGTTGAGTACTGGGTGTTGTGTTGGAGGCGGAGGGAGTTGAGTAGAAGGTTCTTTTCAAGTTCAGCTTGGGGAGGGAGCCTGTTGAGTATCGGATGTTGTGTTGGAGAAGGAGGCTGTTGAGTACTGGGTGTTGTGTTGGAGACGGAGGGAGTTGAGTAGAAGAGAGCTCAACAACTCTTCCAACAAAGAGCCTCAAAAGTGAGTCCGAAAATCGTGGGAATCATATATATAAATTCAAATATTATCATGAGAATGGGGGGTTCTTGGTGCAGCTTGGGGCGGGAGCCTGTTGAGTATCGGGTGTTGTGTTGGAGAAGGAGGCTGTTGAGTACTGGGTGTTGTGTTGGAGACGGAGGGAGTTGAGTAGAAGGTTCTTTTCAAGTTCAGCTTGGGGAGGGAGCCTGTTGAGTATCGGGTGTTGTGTTGGAGAAGGAGGCTGTTGAGTACTGGGTGTTGTGTTGGAGACGGAGGGAGTTGAGTAGAAGGTTCTTTTCAAGTTCAGCTTGGGGAGGGAACCTGTTGAGTATCGGGTGTTGTGTTGGAAAAGAAGGCTGTTGAGTATTGGGTGTTGTGTTGGAGACGGAGGGAGTTGAGTAGAAGGTTCTTTTCAAGTTCAGCTTTGGGAGGGAGCCTGTTGAGTATCGGGTGTTGTGTTGGAGAAGGAAGCTGTTGAGTAATGGGTGTTGTGTTGGAGACGGAGGGAGTTGAGTAGAAGGGAGCCCAAAAAGTCTTCCAAAAAAAGCCTCAAAAGTGAGTCCGAAAATCGTAGGAATCATATATAACATCATATTTAATCATGAGAAAGGGGGTTCTTGGTGGGTGCACAGGGCCACACATACATGCACACATACATACAGACATGCATTTACCTATATATATATATATATATGCAAAATATTGCCTGTAGCTCAGCCCGGCTGGAGCACCAGCCTAAATCTTCTGATTGCTGACTCGGCTTCTGAACGACTTGAGCCCCCCCCCCATTCGCTCGGGGGGACGTAAAGGTGGGGTGGGGGCAGAGGTGGGGCTGAAGGAACCTCCACCTGAACGGCTCCTGGAAGAAGAGGAATGTAAGCATACAGCTAGGCTCGTTCCCTAACCCCACCTCGGGATGACCCGCCCACTATGAATATTTCTCCTGTCCTGTGGGGGGACATGCCCGACTCAATCTTAGAAAGTCCTGGAGGCTTCAAAGGCTTCTTTGAAGCCGGGAGGGCTTGGGGAAACGCCACCTGCCTTCGTAGAAGCCTCCCGCCGCCTTCTCGGCACACGCCCCCCCTCCCCCCCTGCGCCGCCCTCCACTTTGCGCGCTGCTGGGAAAAGTCACTCTCGGTTACACGCAAGACCCTGGCTGGCAAGAGAAGAGTGGCCCATGGTGCGCGGCTTTGGGGGGACCGCAGAGGGCCAAACCAAAGCGCGCAGTCCAATGCTGGCGGAGGGCCCTGTGGGCCCGCCCCAAGAGCCCAGGCATTCGACGCCTCGATGTTTTTAAATGCGGGCCCCTCGAGGTCCCGACCACTTCACCAGGGCCATCTGTTCATATCGAGCCGTCTTTTGATTGTCCGCAGGCCACATACGCCGCAAACTGTGAGAACAGAGAATGCCGCTGTCTCTCATCGCGCTGGAGGTCCGGGAGGTCACTCCAGCGAAGGACCACTCTTACGCGCATCCGATCACGTGCAGCCGAGGCGAGGACGGAATAGATCAGCATAAACATAAACTTTCGGAGGTCCGCTCGGATTTCTTGGGTCGGCGCTGGAGCCCCCGCGCCGGGCGCGCCAAGGACGACGCCAGAGGCGCCGCCAGAGAGCCGGGCACAGATACGAGAAATCAGCGCAGATCTCCGAATAACTATGTTTTGTTCATGCCGATTGTTCTTCGTCGAGCGCTCGCAGTCCCCGGGGAGGACGCCGCAGCCCAGCCGCCGCCGTAGCCCCGCCTCTTGGGATCCCGCAGGCGGGGGCTTTGACAAACCAGGGCGTCGGCATACGTAGCCTCGTCTATACCAAGGCGTCGGCACACGTAATGACCAAAACTCTGCCCGAATATTTGCCCAAGTGTGACCGAAACCAGCGCCCGAGTTTGTCCGAATGCGCCAAGTTTTTTCTCCGAGATCTTTGGCCAGTCACAAGTGCGGTCGCACCAAGCTTTCGGTCACCATTTCGCGCGCGTCTTCGGTTACAGATCTATTTTGGCCACGAGCCTTTTTGACTGATATGGGGCCCGGCGACATGAGAAAAAAACCCTTCCGCCGAGCACCATATAAGCAAAACGGCCCCGCACAAGAGGCCCAGCGGGGGCAGGCCCACAAAAAATGCGGCCGCACCGCCCCCTTCCATCTCCTTCCCCCTTCCACCTGCCTCCCTCCCTGCCTCCCTCCCTCCTTCCTTCCTCCTCCTCCTCCTCCTCCTCCTCATCCCCCTCCTCCTCCTCCGCCTCCTCCTCCTCCTCCTCCTCCTCCTCATCCTCCTCCTCCTCCTCCTCCTCCTCCTCCTCCCCCCTCTCCTCGCCTCCCTGCTCCTTTCCTTGGCAGGGAGGGGGCTCCATCAAACTCCCACCTCAAGTTTCTCTCAACGCTGGCGGCGCGCACGGGTAGGGGGAATGGGGGAAGGCTTCTCAAAAGGAGGCTGCTTATTAGAAGGCGGCGGCCTTACTACATCTACGGATAAGGCCCGCACCTTCTGAGAAGTAAGGGTGCGTCTAAGAGGCCTTCACCCCTCACCTTACCCTCCTCTGCGCGTGGCCGACGACGGGTCTTGCAAAATCCTGGTTTCCGGAGCCCTGGTGTGGACTAAACCGCGGCTCGGAGCAAACTGGGCTCTGCCAACGTACAGCATCCTGCGCTGCAGTTTTCCGGGGGCTTCCCAAGCCCAGCTCAGCCACTATCAAAACAAGAGCACCTCCAGGGCAGCGAGCGGCCAACCAAACCCCGCGCAGCCCAGATCCGGGATCCTGCGGGATCCGGCGCCCTGGGCTCTGGCTGAGCCCCGTGTGCGCTGAGCCCCGCGACTCGCCGGCCGCGCCTCCAGCGACCTGCGCCCGCCGGCCCACAGCACGCAGTCGAAGCCCTCGAGCGACGTCAGCGCGCCCGGGTCCCCCACGCCGCGGGAGAAGGCCACGGCGTCGCGCGGGCAGAGCCTGCGCCACCTCGCAGGAACTGGGGGGGCAGGGACAGCAACCGGGGGCACGCCGCCGTGGGGAGCTCAGCACTGGGGGTCCCACAACGGTGCGGTGACGGACCTCCTCGTGCTCCTCCTCGTGCTCCTCCTCCTCGTGCTCCTCCTCCTCGTGCTCCTCCTCCTCTTCCTCCTCCTCCTTCTCCTCCTCCTCCTCTTCCTCGTCCTCCTCCTCCTCCTCCTCCTCCTCCTCCTCTTCCTCGTCCTCCTCCTCCTCCTCCTCCTCCTCCTCCTCCTCCTCCTCCTCCTCCTCCTCCCCTGGGAGGCCCAAGTCACAAAAAAACCCAAAGCGGTTCCAGGAGGTCTCCGGGAGGCCCCAGGAAGCTCCCCCACAAACCCGCTGAGCGTGGCCTCAGACTAGCGGAAGGACCTCACCGCACATTCCGTCAATGCACGGCTTTGGGACCTCAAGGGCATTGGACGAACACGAAGGAGCGGACTCGCAAGAGCGGCGTGTCTCTGACACTCCCTCTTTCCCTCCCGAGCCTCCGGAGCAGCGCGGCCTCTATCTCGGCCAGCGGCATCCCCGAGGAGAAAGACCTGACCGAGACCAGAAATCCTGAATCCAAACATTGCATCTCACTTTTACCTCCGCCGCCTTCCGCCGAGCTTCGGGGACGCACTGAACTGGGCCAATCCAAACACGGGTCAGTCAGGCCTTGCAGGATCCTGCAAGATCCCGCAGGATCCTGCAGGATCCTGCGCGCAAGCCCGGGTCAATGTAACCCTGGCCATGCAGGACCCTGCAAGATCCGGCGCTCTGGCTGACCCCCCTCTGCACTGACGCCCGTCTCCCAAGGCTCCCAGCGAGCTTCCACCGAGCTTCCGCCGGCGGGCCCGCCGCCGGTCCACCTCCGCCAGCTTCCGGCGCCCTCCGCTGGCTGCCGCCGAAGGCGAGAAACGCTCTGGAGGCGGGGCCCCTCTGGAGCGCCCTGCCTGGAGCCAGTGCGCTGGTTCAGCAGGGACTGCGTCGGCGACGACAGGGCGATGCGGATGTCCGTCCTCGCTGGCATGCATTTATTTCGACACTGCCCTGCCCATGAAGACTCAATGTGGCGACTGACCTGCCAGGGAGCTCGATGACTGATACACTACACTGGCCTGCACGCCCGACACGGATCCAAATTTATCCGCACGCACCGGAATGCCAAAGAGCCCCTGGAGACCCTTGCGGGTGGTCGGACTGCGCGCAGACAGCCCCTCACATGTAGTCCCAGCTGGCCTCAGCAGGCCCCCCGAGTAGTCCCAGCTGGCCTGAACAGGCCCCCCGAGTAGTCCAGGGCGGCATCAACCTCCCAACCCTGAGGCTCTCCGCGCCCCCGGTGCGCCGCCAGAGTCGGCGCCCAGGCTGCTGAGGCCGCACCAGCTTACGCTGGTGGTCCTGTTGAGACCAGCTGGGGCTGTTCTCGGGGCGTCCAAGAGGGGGGCGTCCAAGAGGGGTGGGCGCAAATCAAGGCCGGCGGCATGTGCGCGGCCCAGGGGAGGGGGGGGGGCAGGGACGCAATGAAATAAGAAGAGGCGTCATGAAATCTGAGGAAATATCATGGCCCATGCCATGTTATCCACCCCTCCCTAGTCATCACCCCCCTCGTGGCCGCCCCCGACATTCGGGGGGCCTGCTGAGGCCAGCGGTGGCTTCTACCTGGAGAGGCTGTGCGTGCGCGACCCGCAGCCTCACCATCCGTCCTCGTGCCGTGGGCGTCCTCCGGCCTGCCCTCCAGGATAACGACCTCCGGGGCGTCGGGGCGCCGGACGCGGCAGCCGTCGCCGAGCTTGCTGTATTTGTCGGCCAGCAGCACGGCCGCCCAGAGGCCCACTGGGCCAGCGCCGACGATCGCGATGCGCCTGAAGCTGACATTTTGGAGGAAGAGCTGCAAAATGTTGGGAGGCAGCTCCTGGCCGGTCTTCGACGTAGTAAGCCCGATGAGGCCACTCAGCCAAACATAATCTGCTTATATCGAGCGCGGGATAAACCCGAATTGCCAGATTCAACCAGATTTGCACGAGTAAACTAGATTGTCCCAAATTGAACCAGATTCCGACCTAAGACCTACCAACGCCGATGCTGAGTTTAGCTTCCCAGGACTTGCATCCTCAGCAATGCCATCATACACCACACCACTCGGCTGTTCGCGATAGCTCGCGTCGCCCTCTCTCCCGGTCCAAGGTACTCCACGATGCGCGCCACAGCCGCCTGCGCATGGCTGTAGGTGCACTCATAATGCCAAGATGGCGCACAGATCGTGAAGGTGCCGGCCCCCCACCTCCTAAACTCCCTCCCCCTCTGGTAGCGCCCGCCATCGCCAAAGGACCCTAGAAACACGAGGACAAAAAGAGGACATGACGCCGCGCGCGCGCGGGAATCTTCACGCTCGACAGCCGCGGTACTCGGAGAGTCGAGGGCGTCTGGTCGCTGCCAGGGCACACTGTCAGCCCGCCGTGGGCGCGTCTCTCCCGACGCCGACCCCAGTAGACTTTGCCGCAGTCGGCGGAGAGCGGCCGGTCTGTCGTTTTCACCCTGCGCGTTTCCTTCGATTTCGACCTCCACGGCCCTCTCTGGCCCTGGGGCCACCAGGCATGGAACCCTTTACGCAAATAAACAAACCCAAGGGGGAGGGGTCGGGACTCCCTGGGGCCGCGAACTGAACAAAAACACATCGGAGGATGTCTGGGCTGTGGTTTTGGCTTGCGCCGGCCGGTCACCCGAGGGAGGGCGAACGGGAGTGGGACCACCGCCATCACCAAGTCTCCCACACTACCCCCCACTCGTTGATGACCAAGAGTCGTCGGCCTGGGAAGGCCTGTGACCTCCGCAAAGAGTGCGAGAACCAGAAAAGTCAGCTAGAACTAAGGATTGCGACTACGATGCCTGTGGGAGCGTTGCGGCGCGGCAGCACCACAGCGCTGGTCTGCCATGCTCTGCTGTCGCACTGCGCGTGCGCTTACGTGTGCGTGCTTGCGTGTTCATCAAGACGATTAGAGAAGGGTGTGACGACACCGTTTCACCAATCTCCCAGCTGGAACACCAAATGCGGACCAAATAGCTTGCACCAGACTCCCAAGGCAACACGTGTCACGGGAGGCCGTCCGCACAAAGTGCAGAATCTATCTTTACCAACGCGGAAACAGTTTCTCTCTCCGTTTCAATTCCTAGATAGATGGGGAGAGTTCAACAACGGTCGTGGAAGGTACGCTCCGCATCGGCGAACAACATGTTTGCCGTGCTCGCGTGCGCTTGCGCGTGCTTTTTTTTTTTGTGTGTGTGTGTGTGTGTGTGCTGCGCGGTATGTATGTGTGCGCACATGTGCATGTGCACGTGAGTATGCGTGTGCGCGGGCGTGTGCATCTTGCAAGTGGGACCCCCCAAGCCAAGCACTCCGATCGGCGCAAGTTGCGGTAACCTCACGGCTTCGCCAGCGCTTGCTCCTCACGGGCGCCCCTGCCACCGGCGTGGGCGTGCTGGCGGTCGGGAGTCAAGATACGGCGGACGCCTGCACAAATACTCACACGGCCCACGATCTGCAGACCCCCCACCATGTCTGCTGCCTTCGCACGTCGTGCAGCCCACGATCCGACCCAGCACCTCCCGACACGAGGGTCCCACTCTTCTGCGACTGCTGACTGCATATGAATCTGCCCTGTCTCCGAATCCAGACATCCTCCGATACGCATTGCTAAGTCTGTGGCCACAGACCTCCTGACCCGTTCTCCTAAGGCAGCCTTGCGCTCCAGACCCGTGTTCGGTGGCCCGGGGGGCCCAAAACGGGCCCCAGAAGCCGAATTGAAAGAAAAATGGCCAGATCGAAACACATCGCATCGCCGGAGATGTGGACAGCTCGTCTTTCGGAGTGCAAGTCAGACCGCCGTCGCATGGCGCTCGACGGATCTCTGGCGCCACATCCAGCAACGCGCACGGCTCCCAAAGCAGAACCCCCTGGCTGAGACGACTCGCATCGTTCCTCGCGCGTGCAGACGGCGGTCTCCCCCCGCCGGTCTCGGAGCAGGGCGAGTTGAGACAGTGACAACGGCAATTCAGAATCGCTCCCCCGGACTCCTCCAGGGATCCAGGCGCACCAGGCTCCCGAGCTGCGTCCAGCCGTGGCGACGAGGGAGCCCCCCGAACGCCAACTACCAGTGTCTCAGCTCGCTCTCCCCTGATGGCCGCCTGCGGGCGCTGAGACCACGGCGGCGACCAAGACAACCGCCACTACCGCAAGCCCTGTTCCCAGCATCGAGGTCTCGCGGGCCCAGTGTCATCCACTGGAAGCGTGCGGCACGGTCGCCAGGGATACGTCAGGGCCCGCGTGTACCTCCGCACCGGCTGCACGGCGGAGGCGGAGGCGGCGAGCGCGTCCTGCCTTGGGCCAGGCACGAACCTGCCGTCGCTGCCAGAGGCCGCGCCGACGCAGACGTGGCCATCGATGACGTCTGCCCTGGGCGAGGGCTCCGAGCAGGCGGGCGGGGGCGTGCTGGCCCATCCTGCTGCCGCGGCCCGGCGCGTTCTTGTGCACAGCCGCGCGGCCCATCGAAAAATGGTGGCCGACCGCAGTCCTACGCGCCATCGGCTTCGCCTGCCTGCCAAGAACCAGCCGCGACCACAGCGCAGGATGGCGCACCAGCCTCGCGAATAGAAGAAACCCAGGGGCACAGACATGCACTGCCATAGATCCACGCGGACTTGTTTGGTCCGTGCTGCACACGTATGGCGGCGCCTCCGGCGCCGCCTCCGGCGCGCACGGCGCGCGTCTCAGCATCGATCCGAGAAAATATACTTTTACGCGCTTGCTGATTAAACTTCGATGTGAGACTGCCATACTTGGAAGAGTCACGGGAGCACTTGTGATCTTGTGCAGTGCCAGACGGCCTGCGACACAAGGCGCCGAAGCTCGGCGCAGGCGGCTGCAGATGGCAGCCGCCCTGTCATAGTGATTCCTCGGCCATGCCGAAGACGCCCGCGAGCCGCCAAAAGGCCCGAACGAAGCTGGGAGCCCTTTTGGGGGCCACCGAGGGCACCACCGCACACAGCGACGCGCAAAAGATGGACGAGGGCGGGCTCGGCTGGGGCGCCGCAAGCCCTACGTGGCGAGCGGGCCCCGGGCCTGCAGCAAACCCAGCAGTCCGAAGTGGTGATCTGTGCTTAGCATGGGAGAAGTGGGTCCTGAGGGAAACAGGTCCTGGACCATGGGGCCTTCCCCCAGGACCCATCGCAGTCCTGGGGCCCGTGGAGGGCCTCGAGGGCCCGAAAACGGCGAAAAACCTCAGGACGCGTTTCCCCTCAAGATCCGTTTCCCCCATGGCGACTGTTCTCGTCGCCGCCTCGACCAGTTTCCAGTGACCGCTTGTTCATCCCGGATCGCTGCTTAACGGTCCCGGGGCCCAGCGAGGATCCCCAGGGGCCGAGCATAGCAACAAGCCTTCCGTCGCCACGTGTGGACGAGGAGCGGCTGACACGCGCCAGGCAGAAAACTAACGGGGCCCAGGGACAGACAAACAAACAAACACAAATCTTAGGAATTCCCATCGTTTCATCTATGTTCTGGGTTTTCGTCTTGTCACCCACGTCCCATTTGTTTCCTTATTTTCTTGGGAGTGGGCGATTCGTATTGTGCATTGTTTGTGGGTGTGTTTAAACAAGCTCCTGCGAGTGAAGAGCGCCCTCGCGCAGGAGTCGCCGTCGACGCCAGGCTCGCCGACGCAACCGTCCCTCGCCTGCGGGAGCTTGTCCCACAGCCGCTGCATGACCCTCGCGTGCGTCTTCTTCTGGAACTCCTCCAGGTCGATGCACGCCGCTTTCGCCGCCGCCTGCATCGGAAGACAACGCGGCATATAGGCATTAACTTTCGGAGGTCCGCGCGGATCGGATTTCTTGGATCGGCGCTGGGCCCGCCCTTCCTGGCGCCCTGAGCGCGCCAGGTGCAGCTCCAGAGGCGCCGCCATGGGCGCCCAAAACCGATCCAAGGAATCCGCGCGGACCTCAGAAAGTTTAATGACTATCCAGTCTTGCGGTTCGTCGAGCCTTCGCGGCAATGGCGGCCTCCTGTAGGAAGCCCAAAGCGAAAGCGCTCACCTACGTGAGCCAATCAGATCCCAAGTTCGCCAGACCACCCTTGCCGCACCAAACTCGACACTCGCGACACGTATTTTATCGAAGCGCGTGTGAATTCAAGTGCGCACACGTGGTTGTAATGATCCCGATCCTGTGCGGAGAGCGCCCTCTTCGCCTGGGGGGGGGGGGCTGAAGTATACGCAAAGTCGTTTGGTCGGCCAAGGAGCTCGGATTACAGTAGACACATCAGTTTGCTGTAATCTCCGTCTAAATGATGAGTGTCATACGGTGCCCTGACTAGAGATTCTGCAGTTCCCTGGGTCCGTTGGGCACCTCCTCGCAGGCCGTCTTCTCCTCTGATGTCCTGTGGGGCGCTGGAGTGCCCCAGCCTCCCAACCTCCCAACCTGGAGCGCCTGCTCACCGAACTCCTTCGCCGAGCTCCTCGGCCCCTCAGCCGGCCAAACGACGTGGTCCCAAAACCTCGACTCTTTCCGCAGGGGGCCACTGGCGAACCCTACCCCTACCCCCCCACGAGTTCTGAGGGGGAGGGTGGGGGTAGGGGTCGCCTGTAGCCCCCTACTTTCAGCAGGCGGCCCCCGTAAGTCCCGACCCCGTCCCCAGGGCCAGTCTCTCATCCTGGGCAACTTCTCGACGGGCCGGAGGCTCCGGCGAGGGCCCCCCGAGGCCGCAGACTGGCAGAAGCTTACTGGCGCGGTGTCTCCACGGCGCGAGCATGTCTGGTTCGAGCCCCCTTCGATCGCCATCGCGGTGCGCGCCAGGAGCCGCTTGCGCGCCTGCTCCGTGCCGCCCGCGACGTCCGCGGCGGCCTCCACGGCCGCGCGCGCGGCGTCCGCGGCGGCCTGCGCGGCCTCCTCCTGCGGTCGGTGCCGTGGGGGAGCCACCGCCGAAGGGGGCCGCCAGCTCGGCGAGCAAGGTCCGAGGAGAGGACCAAGGGCCGATGATGGGTCTGTTTTCCATCACCACCACCATCAGTTGGAGGGGGGAAGGAGGTGGAGGGCGAGGATTTGGAGGACGAAGGGTAGGAGGAGGTTGAGGTGGAGGTGGAGGAGGAGGAGGAGGAGGTGGAGGAGGAGGAGGAGGAGGAGGAGGAGGATGAGGAGGAGGAGGAGGAGGAGGAGGACCCCCTCGCCCTCCAACTTATGGCGATTGTGGAAGACAAACCCATCAGGTCAGGAAAGGCCTTTGGTGCGCGGCTTTTTGGGGGTCGCGGGGGACCACGCCTGGGCGCGCAGGCCGCTGCTACCGCTTCGTTTTCAGCCATCCGAGGGCCCGTCTATTCGGCGGTGGACAAACCTCCCTTTAGCAAACCTCCCTGTAGTGAAAACGGCCTGGGACCGATGCCGACGGACCTGGACCCGCAAAAATGACGGCCGCGACGCCCTCTCGCAAACCGGAAACGGCCAATTCCTGAATCGACGTGTCAGAGTAGGAGGTCTGTCCACCCCCGATCTGTGCCCGCACCAAGGGTCACTCCGGCGAAAGGTCACTCTTACGTCTGGTCAAGAACGAACCAGCTCTGCGGACAGTCGCCCGGGCCTGGTCGAGACCAGGTGGGGGAGGCCTTGGCCTCACGGAAGCTTCGGGCAGGCATCGTGGCTGCGGGGCAAACGCAAAACTTCGACACACGGAAGGGGGAGGGGGAGGAAGTCGTGGTAGCGGAAATCCTGGGACCAAGGGCCGAGGAGATTATGTACGATTCTGGGCATGTGGGGACGTTCTAGGGGCTTCCTAGGAGTCTTGAGGTGCGATCGCGCTTCGAACATGAAAGGGCGATGAGACTCTAAACGGTTCTTGGCATTTTTTGGACGTCCTGGAGGGTTATGGAGGTCCCGGTGTGCGAGCCAGGGTGTTCTTCGTGACAACCGCCAAGGGCATCGATCTACGAAGCGGTGATGATGGACCCAGACATGCGATGTCCTGAATTGTTGAACACGCGGTCCCCAGCAAGGCCGACCCTTTCCTGAGCCGGTTTTCCATCCGAGATGATTTTGACGGCCCTGGGGCCCGGTAAAGGCCCCCAGAGGCCGACAATTTCGCCGTCCAGATTTTTGCAAGACGTTGTGTGTCTGGGGACAAAGCCCCGCCTCGGATGAGGGAGCCGTCCTCCTCGACGGGGCGGTGATCATCTCCCTAGGTGGTGACCCCCGCGGCGCTGCCAGTCTCCTCGGCTTCGACAGCCTTGGCCTCCAGGCGCTGCCGGGTCTTCTCGAGGAAGGCCTCGATGTCTACCTGCCAGGCCGCTTCAGCATCGTTCAACCGATCTCTATCCCCAAGGGCGTGGCCTGGGCCCCACTTGCCGATTAGATGGGGACATAGGCTGTTTCCTTTGAGTTTCGAAGGGCATATCCCCATTTGGGGTGGTGGGATGGTGCCCACCTGGGCGACGACAAGAAACGGGTCTTGCGAGATGACGAGCGGACCTTATGCCGCAGCCTACGCGGGCCGCCGGCGCGGCACGCTACGCAGGAAGCGCGAGCGCTCGAGCGCGGCCTGACGCGGGCAGCTCACGCGCCAATGCCGGCGCCACCGGCCCCGTGTTTCTGCGTCGCCCGCCTGCCGGGCCGAGGGCAGATGCCCGGGTCTCCGACGGTCGGAGATCCTCGGGGAACTGCGCCTCTGCCAGATCGGGTCGAGCGAGAAAAGGCGCCTGGCGATCGCCGTGCCTCGATTGCGTCCCCGGGGGGCCCGTCATCGGGACATTGGCCCACCAGAGATGCATGCGGGGGGCGCGGGATTACCCCTCGGGAGGAGAGCACTGGGGCCGCGGACCGAAAGACTCCACCACCTTCGCCGCTTCCCCATTTGCCCCCTCCCCTGGGGTCAAGAATCGCGTGAGAGAGGGGGGTGCGGGGGCACGAGCTCCACAACGCCCCGCCGGGGCCCTCGGGCCAAGATGCCCGAGATGCCTTGTGGGAAAACTCCAGAAAGGGGCTCCAAGCCGCAAACGAGGCCTTAAGAACAGCCGAGGTAGCCTCAAGACGGCCCAAGACGCCGAGAGAGGGCCCCAAGAGGACCCCCAAGAGGGCCTCAGTAGGCAAAAAACGTTGATTGTCCAGCGGTTTTTAAAGGATCTTCGCCATCTCGCCCGTCGGGGCGTCTGCAAGACCAGAACGGCGCGAGAGACCCCGCAGACTGGCCCGAGACGGCCCAATAGGCCCCGATAGGGTCCAGAGACGGCATAGGGGGCACCAACGACGGCAACAAGAAAACATACAAATGCCCAAAGAGGAGCCCAAGAGAGGCTCAAGAGGGGGAACCAGCAATGACCAGGGGAGCCCTCCCTCGCAACACGGCCCCAGATCACCCAACAAGCTCCCAAAAGGCCCCCGAAAGCCGACTGGAGCCGTTAAAAGATCCAGGAGGCCGCCCCCTGGGCCTCCAAGAGGCCCTCAAGAAGCCCCGCAAACGACGCGGAGGAAACGGAGGACGGATCAGCAACAACTTCACGCACGACGGACATGGGAAAACAACACACACACACACGACATCGGAAGCCGCACATATCATCTGGGGGTCGGCGGAATGGTGGAAGCCTCTTGAACCAAATCGGAGGATGTCTGCGAGCTCCTCTGGCCTATGGTGACCGCATATT